CAGTGGGTAATCATGATTAACGTTATTTATATATTTAATTTACTAGTAAAGTGCACGTGCGATGCACGTGGTGACGAATATTTTTTCCCAATTAAGTTTAGTAAAATAAATTAATTAATTTATTAAAAATATCGTTGTAAGAATGAAATAAAACGTAGAACAAATGAGCTCATAATGTAATCGTTTTTTGCCGATTAAGTTTTGTAAAATAAATAAATTAATTTATTAAATATATCCTTACAAAAATGAAACAAAATGTAGAACAAATTAATGAAACAAAATATAGAAACAAATTATTTTTTCTAAAATAACTTAATGATGTCCTAATATAAAAATAATTAAATAACATATTACAACCCCAACAAAAACACTAAATAACTAAATAATGACTAATATATATTATACATGCATTAGTTCTTTTATTTGTTTATGTTAGATGATTCGATAGAGTTCTCTTTCATTTTGGTTTTGACGTCTTCATAAGAAGCATTATTGATTCAATAGTATTGCAAAATTCATCTTAATTCATTTGGCAAAACGTCTACTTTATTCAAACACTTAAGAAATATTCTAACCAAACATATAGTGAAATTTCATGGTTGTATTATCTTTATATTTCTACTAACCATGCATGAATATATCTGCAAAATAATAAATCGTGTCATTAAAATTGTTGATTATTTTTTATCATTGTATAAACTATTAAATTACTCTCTCTATATATATCGACAAATTATTGATACCTACCCCATGGATGTATCTCCCTACGGAAGGGAATGAATTTCATCTCTAAATAAAAGTTGACTATTCAAAATATCTATTACATGTACTTTTCCCGAGGTTTTTTTTTTAAATCATCACACATTAACTAAAAGTTCATACTATAAAATAATTGCACATATGTTCAAGCACAATACACCAATGAAATTATAAATATTCCTATAAGAAGTGTCAACTTCATTCAAACATTCAAAAATGTTTTGATCAGGCTCCAACGTTTCATTTTCAATGTCATTTATTTGGAAGATAGACGAACTATATAATCTATTGTTTGCAAATCATTGACCATCTAGTTCTTGCAATGATTTTAGAATTATTTATCTTCATATCTTTCACATTCGTTTGGATTTGTAATATTTATGTGTCCAATAACTTTTTAATGCTTTTATTGTCCAACTTTATGCATCATACATAATACTGAAAAAAACTCGAGATAAAGTTCCTTTCTTGATTCTTCACCAATGACAAAATCAAACAAAACAAAACAATGAGACAACATTGAGAAGCATATCATTTGTTAAAATATTTGAGATGAGAAGAATTAAAATTCTATTTTATGATTCTTAGTCATCTTTGAATGTTATTATTATGAAATCATTATTAAAATCTACATTATGTATTATAAAGTTTTACATTTTTAATTATTTAAAATTAAAAATTGATAATATAAGATCATTATTTATGAGATCCAATTTCTTACAGAGTCCATATATTTAAACGTTAGCAACAAATAAAGTATTATTTTTAAAAGATTTTTTATTTCTAAATATTGGTATTCATACTTGTCTAAGAAAATTCAGACGTTATCTTTTTTCAATTCCATTACTATTATTTTATTAGTTTTTATTTCTATTGATAAATAATACTTTATTTATTAAACGAATTCTAGCACATTTATATGTATTGCATCATTTTTTGTACGTGTTTCATATAATGACGTTGTTATCAAAATATCTTATTTATTAGACAACAACTAATATAATCACATAAGATAAAATAAAATTTAATATTACTTATTTATATATTTCTAATAATAATATATTTAATAAAAAAAATGTATTTTTATACTGATTATTGGATTAAAAGGTTTAGAATTTTTTCCCAATGTTTGAGAAAAATATTAAGCAACTAACTCATTTCATACTCATTGAATTTATGTGTTAGTTGAATAAAATTTCACATACAACTCGTTTATTTCTCCTTTTAACTCACATAGTTAATATTGGTGATAGTTGTATCTTAGTATGAATTTTCGGATCTATGTAAGAAAAATATGCCACAAGGAATCTAATTCTAGCAAAAATATTTTATTGGAATCATGAGCAGATCTATGTTTTTTATAGATCCGACACAACCCTCCATCCTAAAGCATATAGCGTAAGGAATTTAATAAAAATTTGTGGGAACATTTTTTCATAATTTATATCATGTCCCCTATTTTAAAAACGAAATTGAAAGAAAGAAAGATACATAATGAAATAATTCACAACTCAACCAATTATGATTTAATTCAACTCATAACTTTATTAATGTTATAACATAAACGCAGCATGAAAGAAAATATAATATATCTCAAAATTACAATTTTATCCTCTAATTATATTATTTCAATCTTGATGACAGTTTCAAATCTCTATTTTGCAACATATTTTTTTCTATATCTTCAAAATATATTTTTTTATGTCTTTTATAACTAATGCAAGGGGAATTCTAGTTATATATTCGTAATTTATAAATTAATCAATTATATTGCCGAGTCAGCTATACTACAACATAGATTTTTTGTTTATAATTTTTTTAAAAAAAATATTATTTTCAATGATTTTCTTATGTTGAATTGAGAAAAATCGTCATTTTTTTTATTAAATACTTTTTAACTTATTGTGACTGTACTAATGTGTTAGAATGTATTACAAGTTAGAAACATGACAAATTATGTAAAGTATAATTTATAAATTGTAATGACATTATGTTATTTTGATGGTATACTTTTTCTATTAACTATATAGTGCCCAATATAAAATTATTTTGGATCCGCCACTGCAATTAGTTTTCCAATGGAACTTCTATTAATTTTCTTACAATTTCAATGACAGTTTTTTCAACGGTTGAAATACGATCCGTAAAAAAATTCAACAGAGATTCAAACAATAATAAATTATAGTAATTGGAATGATTTAATTCACAAAATTTTCAATGTAATTTAATTTGTTCTCTATTGGAATAGTTAATGAAATTTTCCAATTAAAGCTTTACCAATGAAATATCCGTTGGAATTTTCTTTGGAATATCTTACAGATGCATTTTTCATTGCAATATACCAATTTTTTTTTGTATTCCTTCTTAAACATCATATTTTAGGTAGTATTTATGAGTTGTCGAGTCATCTATACTACAACATAAATTTTTTGTTCATCAGATTTTAAAAGATATATTTTTTTCAATGATTTGCTTACTTTTAGTTGAGAAAAATTATATTTTTTTTTGAATACTTTTAACTTATTGTAACTGTAACGATTTGTAAACATGTATTACAGATGAGAAAGGTGACAAATTTTGAAAAGTAAAATTTAAATATTGTAATGACATTATGTTATTTTGATGGTATATTTTTTCTATTAGCTAAATAGTGCCCCCAATATGAAATTGTCTGTATCTATCACTGCAATTAGCTTTCCAATGCAACTTTTATTGATATGTTCCCAAAAAGAAAATTCACACAAGAAATAAATAATGGTAACTCGAATCATTAAATCCATTAAAATTCCATTATAATATAATTTGATCTATGTTGGAATAGCCAATGATATTTTCAAATGAAAGCTATGCAAATGAAATATCCTTTAGAATTTTTAGTGGAACATCTTATCGTTGGATTTTTCATTGCAACATAACATTTTATTTTTTGCATTCCTTTTTAAATATTAAAATTTTTATGTTGTAGTTTTTCTATTAATTGATTGCGTTTACAATTTTTTTTTTTAAAAATATATTAAACACATGAACTATTTAGTCTATATAACTTTTTAGAAATCACTCGTTATTTTAACTCAAGATTACCTATTAATTTCTCAATTGAATTACAACCTTTTTACGTATTAATATTAAATAACGAAAATAATTATTATTTTATATTGTAATATGATATTTATATATTATATTAAAAAAACTAATAGCAAATAAAAATTTATTTAAAATTAAAATAATCATTTTTTAAATATTAAAATTTCCAACCTACATGGATAAAATTACAAATAACTATTATCTATCACCTAAAAGTTACACATAGAACTAATAAGCACAAAAAAATAAAAATAAATAAACCATTCGATTCATTTACATCGATAAATATAAGTTTTAAAAGTTTTATGTTTAATTTTATTAATTATAAAATTTTTATTTATTATTTGTTTTCATATTTATTAGCAAGCCTTACACCTTAATTATATTTTTAATGTTATTCATCAGATTTATTATTTTTTTTACTTTCAAATCATTCTTTTATTTAGCACACATCTTTAAAATCAGTGGCTCATATAAAATAATAATAATTAAAATCTCATGATATTTTACTTAATTATTGAATGTAAAATTCATATATTTTAAGTGTTAATAATTAAAATATTACTCACCTTGATATTAACCATTTAATGGTCAAGTGAAAATTCATTAATTTTATTCACTTTGTGACAAAAATTGGAAAAACCAAACAAACAAACAAATGACGATTTTTGTGGGATCAAAATTCCATCCAATAAGGCTAAAGTGCAATTTCTATTCTAATTTCTATATATAAGATTTTACTTTTCTTAAATAATGAAGTAGTTAAATGAATTGTTCAACTTTTCTAGTTTGTCAAAACATTATTGTTTAGGTTGATGTTAGGTTGATTTTTGGAAGATATGTGGAAGAAAGCAATTTCGTGATAAATAATGGTGCGTGAATATTGTGTTTGATTTTTAGGAGATGTGAAATGTATTGTTCATGTATTTGTATTTAAGTAATTAAACATTAGTTATTAATTAAAATTATAAGATATGATAGGTATTAGTGTATTACTAATTTGTCATTAAAAACATATTAAAGTAAGGGTTTCTTAGGTAATTCATTTTTTTAATTAAAAATATAAATTAAAATATGTATTACTGTATTCCTAATTTGCCATTAAAAATATGTCAAAGTAAGGTTATTTTAGGTAGTTCATATTTTTACAAAAACACTCGTCCTTTTAGAGTAGTATAGATAGATAGATAGATAGATAATACAATCGTAATATTGTTCTTCGTGCATCGCACGAGCCACGAACTAGTAAAGAAAGAAAGAAAATGTTACATTTTCAACCCTCACCACCCAATGGACGACCTCCAATGAGCTGGTGCCTCACGAGTTTCTTGTCAGAGGCCCTCAAGCATGGCCAGGACCTCGGCCATGCAGGGCCTCATCTTCGCATCGTGGTTGAGGCACTGTAGGGCAACATTGGCGACTGTGAAGGCAGCCTTCTTAGGGTATTGAGCATTGAGCTTTATGTCCATTATCCACAATAGCTTCCGCTTGTCCCCAATGTACCGCTTGGCCCCGTCCACCAGGTTCGATTCAAGTCCGACCTTTGTCCTGTCCAATGCACGCCGTCCAGAAATCAGCTCTAGCAGGACCACGCCGAAGTTGTACACGTCGCATTTTGCAGTCAATCGACCTGTGGTTGAGAAACAAGCCAGTCTGAGGTTCGTCCAGTCACCCAAGGGGCAACAGCAGAAAAAATAAAGGGCAAACTGACAAAGCATTATTCAACTGATTAGTGACAAAAACTTTTAATGTTTTAAAATTTTGTTAAAGGATTTTCAAACTTCTATTTTTCCATTTTTTATTTTTGTTTTTTTCAAGGATCTGTTTTTCTCAAGGGTTCTTTCCTTCTATGTTTTTAGGAAAGTTTCGTTTCTTTTTTATGTTTTATTTTTTTGTGAATTTTTGTAACTATTTTTTATTTTAAAATATAGGTAAAGGGATTGGTCTGACGTCAATTCATTTGGAAGAAGCGCGTCTCGGAAGAATATGAGATCCCACATAAGAGCGAATGTTTAAATGGTGTGACCTGTGGCAACGTATTCAGGTGCAGCATATCCAGAAGTGCCCATAACTCGGGTTGATACATGTGTCTCACCGCCAGTGGGGCCAGCTCTGGCCAAACCAAATCCGGACAATTTTGCATTGAATTCCTGAAAAACCGAGATGAATACGTGTTATTAGTGTCAGCTGAAAACATCCAAGTTTGAGCCTTTCTTTTTATTTTTTATTTTTTTGAATTAAAGTTTAAATTGATTTAAAAGTTCTTCGAAAGCGCGCAGTCAATTATGAGCTTACCCCATCAAGAAGAATATTAGAAGCTGTAAAGTTTCTGTGTATAACTTGTTCTTCGGTCTCATGCAAGAAAGATAGGCCCCTGGCGCAGCCTACGGCAATCTTTATTCGAGTAGCCCAGTTCAAGGGCGGTGGCCCACCTGGAAACCAAATGCAATTTATATGTCAATATAATATATTTATTTTTCATTCCTGAATAAATGCTTCAAAGGTTCCAAAATTTCTGGAGTTCCACAAATGGTTCTTCAAAAACAGAGAACAACAGTAGTGTAGTAAAATACGCAGGCAGCAGATAAGTTTAAATTGATTAATGATATAAAGTGAGCAAATGCATTCTCAGATAAATAAATAAACAAAGACAGGTTAGAAGAAAGCTTTTTTTATAAATAATGGATGCACCGAGCTCATTCAAGTGTACCACAAAACAGTGAACAAAAAACATCAGATAAACTGAATAAGCTGCAAAATTATTAAATGTTAAGAAAGCTTTTTTATTTTGTATACCTGGAAGACATGCATGTGAGAGTGTGTTGAAGTAATTAGAGAAAGAGGTAAATGCCAAAAACACAAGATAAACAAATACATACATATCCAATCAATTGGTTTTCCAATGATCGTCTTCAAGGAATGAGTATTGACTAACAATGATACCTTAGCAATCTCCTATGTTACAAACGGAACCACATGATGAAGTCGAGCACTAGGTAAAAGGCTAAGCAAATTTTTTAAGAGCTATGTCAATGTTCAAAAACTAAAATGTTGAGATGCTACCCAAAAAGTGGCTTGTTAATCGAGAAGCAACAAATAAAGAAATATAAGGAAATCTTTACGCTAAATAAAGCTAAAGTTTATCGCAGAATACGTACTTCTGTGCAAATGATTATCCAAGCTTCCTTTGCGCATGAACTCATACACAAGCAGCCGGTTGTCTCCCTCTGAACAGTAGCCAAAGAGTTTTACAAGGTTCGGGTGATGAAGCTGCCCCAAATAACTAATTTCTGTCTGCACATCATCTCCACGCTCTCAAAATGCTAATAATAATATGCTTCAATTAACACAAATAAAAATGACAAAAAGGCTATGTTGTTGTTGTTGTTAAGACAAATAAAAATGACAATACATTAAAACAACCACTTAATATTCAGCCTCATTTATTAAAGAACAAAAAAACTCCAGTCCAGCTATCTTTCAGAAATACAAATAACCTCCTTACAACATTACAATACACCCGTCCTCACAGTTCCACTAACCTTTCACATTACAATAAACCCAAATAACAATTAGGTAAGTACAAAAACAAACCCTTAATATTATGCCAATTTCAAAAACTTGGGTTAACTAGAATCACAAATAACCTCCTTACAACACCTCTATACACCCCTCTGGACAGTCCAAACATCAGTGCAAGGTACAAACTTTAAAAAAATGTTAAGCAGAACTTCAGGGATTTTTTTTTTAATAACCAAGAAGAAAACATACCAACCACTCTTTGTGGCCGCGATAGCTCTCAGGCTTCAACTTTTTGACAGCAATGACCAAACCAGATCCGGGCTTTGTGGCCGTTAGCGTATGCTCGTCAATCCACCCTTTGAAAACAGAACCGAATGATCCTTCCCCAAGAATATGGTCTGATCTAAAGTTTCTTGTTGCCTTTCTCAATAGATAAATTGTAAAGGCTTTAATGTGTGGTGATGATAGAATTTCAGCTTCCGATTTTGGGTATCGTGATGCTTCTGAAAATGAAGAAAGACAAAAGAGAAATAAATAAATAAAATTGAATGAATTAATACACTCATGGAGAGGCTTGGTCATAACACTAGAACAGAGTAAGTGAATAAAATAGATTTTTATCCTTCACTATTTTTTTTTTTTTTTAAATCCGATTGTTGATTGAATGAAGTGGATTTACTGCTGCATTACCAACCCAATTTAAGGTGAAGTTATCCTTTACTCAAAAAGGCGAAATTGGGGCGCCTTTACACGGTTATGTACATACAATTTCTGTGTAATTTTTCCTTGATCATAATCAATGGAACCTAAACAGATTCATATTTTTTGAACATAGAAAAGCAGTGAAACTTGGAAGCATAGAGGACACTCATGTACTAAAAAGGTTTATCTATTCATTCATAGCAAGGGCTTTTGATTTGTAGACGTGCGTAATATTTTGGTATTTTGTGTTGTTGATTGGGTATATGATGTATCTATATTTCACATAATATAATAAAAATAAAAATAAAAAAGAAGTACCCGATAAAGAAGCAGAACTGAAACGCGAGCTGTAATCGGTGGAAAAAGAGCTACTTAAGCTGTCACACACTGCAATTTCTCTGAGCTTCTCCCTGTTAAGAACGCTGGCAACGAGCTTCCCCCAGTTATCATACACCCTTGACATATTTAATTAATTATTATAACCTATAATTAATTTAAAATATTAATAGAATTGGTGAGGACGAATTTTGGTGTGAGTGAGGGAGGAGAAATTGAAAGTCTCCCCGAGTCCTCGGGCGTCATCGTGTCTCTTGGGCCATAGCCTTTCTGTGAGTTGACTCACACGCGTGGAATGTAGTGGTGTATATTTAAAAAAAAAATAGCAGGAACGAAATAAAGCATATAATTAATGAACTCCTATTGTATTTTTTAAATAATATAATAATATTTTAATATAAAAAGAATAAAATAACATATTACAATAATAACAAAAATATATAAAAAATGAATAACTAATGAAAAAAAAATACTCAACTCAAGGACAACGATAAAGTAAAACACTAAATAAAGAACTAATATATATTATAAATGCATTAGTTTTTTTTTTAATTTTTTTATTTATTCATGTTAGATAATTCAAGAGTAATTTTCGTTTTATTTTGGTTTTGTCTTTCTTATAAAAAACATTCATACTCGTTAGAGCTCAACACATCAATAGTATTGCAAAATTATTTTAAATTCATTTTAAATAAAGAACTCTCGTACCGGAGGAGTTTTTCGATGAAGAGCTTTCGATATTTAAGTCAGTATAAGCTCTACTCAATTCGCAAGAGTATAATGGACAAATCGTGCGTAAATCATAAGGCTCACCTCTATATATAGGGGTGAGATACCTGCTGCCCAGATGAGCTGAGGTGGCTGCCCAAAGCTGCCCAGCCTGCCCGTCGTACAAAACACACCGGAGGAGTATCAGAGATATGTGAGAGACAATTATACGATAAAGACCAATCAAGTCGCACCACGTGTCCTCCACACATGGGGGTGTAATTCCTCTGAAATCTCCTCGAAGGCTCTCGTGCTCGACCACATCCAAGTCGATCCACTGACTGCTTTGAGTCGTTTAACTGATCAATCAGACAACTGTTTGTAGTGAATATTGATCTTTGACCAGACCCTCAATGGATCTGGGGTTGACATGCTCTCTAAATTTTGGAATTAAAGTTATCTTTCCATTCCAGAGACCCTTGTTCTTGTTATATTCGACCACAACCACCCCTTCTGCACTTCGCTCGACCAGGGCCTAAAAATTTATGTATATCTGGTTGACCAAGAACGGTTGACCGCAAATCACGTCTTGGGTTGTACGAACAAGATCAGATCAAAAACGGATGAAACGGGTGCAAACGGATCAAAACCAAACTTGCAGCCAGACAGCTTGCGACGGCGCGTGAGGGCGCGTGCAGCGTCGGAATCCAGGGATCTCAGCGGCGATGGAAAGCTCTCGTCGAGACGCTCGTCTGGGTATGCTATGCGTCCCAATCGGACCTTCGATTAGTTCTGTAGGATAAAATATATTTCGTCTTGGTTTACCTACAGATCTTCTACTGTATTACTCAATACACCCTTCTTCAGCTTATACCAGTGGACCAGCAAGAAGAAGATAAAGCTCGAATGAGATCTAGAGAGAGAGAGAGGGACGTGCGTTTGACACGAGTTCTAGCAATTTAGTTCTCTTATCATGAGTTTAATGATGTATATATAGAGCTACAGTAGGGACCCTTAGGAGATTAAGAAAAGAGCTCCTTAATTAATTAGACTAACTGTGGGCCAAGCCCACTCCTCTAATTAATTAAATAATATTAATGGGTCACCAACATTATATTATTGTACTCCCTTTTTCCTAGCCCAAATTACATTTGAGGCTCCAATAATAATTACTCGATTTACCTCCCCAGGTTTAAGATATAATGTCCATTAATTAATTCGATTACTGACAATCAAGAATTAATTAATTTATTATTATTTCACCGAAGCTAGCGCTCGTTCATCACATTCTTATTATGCTGGAACTTAATCCACCTGCAGGGTATAGCATAACAATCCTTCATGAACTCACTCCGGGGACATCATCAAACTAACGCACATGGTGACCGTAAGTATCCTAACAACACATCCTATATTAATATTACCCAAAAAAAATAGGAATATTGATCTAGTAAACTGGACCTCACCCAAGTGAATCAAATTAATATATACTATATATATCTGTCAGTTTAATATCTTACGGGTTAAGAGAACGCAGTAATTAACCAAGGCCTAGTTCATTTACGACGATCAGTATAAAATGAACTTCTCCTCTCTAGGATCCTGTTCAATACATAAATGTACTAGTGCAACTAATCAGTCAAGACAAACTGTATAGTTGACACTACAACTGTTCGGATGGGGTGTTCATGTCCATCTAGGTTGTGAACAACTATTCTTGTTCGCAAGTAACTGATAGAGTGATCTTCAGATTGCCCGATGACGTCCCACCCTATCTAAGTGCAGAACAACATAACGTAGAACTTGTTTAATCTAACACGATTCTCATTCAAAAAGGGCAAATGTGTAATAGCATGCAAAACCAAGCTTTCAGTATATAACACTAACACCCCTCCCCCCTCCCACTCTGGTCGATTCTGAATGACTCGATTCAAGAGTAGGTTTTTGTCCATCCATGAGTTGTTATTGCTCCCGTTATTTATCGACTACTTGACGAGCGTTCCCTTGTTTTTCTACCTTCGACCACTCTCTTGTATTTTCAGAATTCGAAACTGTTATCTGTCGCGTCTGTCAGACGTGTCCATCATAACTTCGTAATTCGCGTCTCCTCGTACTTCGCATCCATTAAAGGCATCCATTTACCCCTGCCCTTATATCCGTTGTTAACCTAACAATCAATTTCTCCAACTTTTCATCTAATGTCTTAAATTCAAGCGATTAACTCCTTTAATCCAACGGTCGCGCCCCTATCATTTCCTTATGATTGACTCATGCAACAAATTAGGTAAAGTTTGAGTCTAGGGGCAAGAACTTTAGAGATCAATTTATATATTGCACCACAAAGGCTTATGGGTCTAAACTGGTTAATAGAACAAGGATTTAAGCATTTAGGCACCAAAGTGACTAAGGTTTGGTTCCAGTACCTTTAGAGTTGTACGAAAGAGAAGAAACTATCCACTGCAGCACAAAGATCCTCTTTGACTATAGGCCAGAAGTGTTGATAGAATAGGGGGTCATCCCATCTTCACCAGGGGCTTTGAGGGGGTTCATTTGGAAGGGAGCCCATTTGATTTCTTCTTCTATGATTGGGGCCAACAACTTCTTATTCATGTCAGAAGTGATTGACCTCGGGATATGTTGAGTCAATTCTGCAGCACCTAGAGAGCTATCCGAAGTAAAGAGGTTCTCATAATAGTTGGAAATCTCTTTTGCTATGTCCTCCTTTGACTCACAAATTCTATAATCCTCAGTAACTAGTCTAGAAATGGCATCTCTCTTTCCCCTCTGCATTGTGTAAGCATGGAAGAAGTTAGTGTTTTGGTCTCTTTCTTTGATCCATTGGACTCTGGACTTTGGTTGCCTAAAGAGTTCTTCAGAAGTTGGGCCATCTCCAGTTCCTTCTTGATTGTTTTCCACTCATCCCAGGGAAAAGAGTTCTTCAGAAGTTTGGGCCATCTCCAGTTCCTTCTTGATTGTTTTCCACTCATCTCAGTTTTTTCCCTTCTCCTAGTAGTCTCATCTCTTCCAATTTAAGAGTAAGCTTCCCAACCTTTTCTTTGTGCTCTGCTCTGAACATTTTACTCCATTTAGAGAGGGCAATTCTGGTTTTCTGATATGTTCCTTAAGCCTGAAAAAAAGAGTCCCCAATTGAGGAATAGACCAAGCCTTAAGCACTTATTCTTTGCAACCTCCTCTTTTGAACCACCTCTTACCAGAGGTGAACCTTCTCCACTTCTTCTCTGAGACCACTTTATCCTCCAGTAGTAAGACTCCATGATCAGATGCACTTCTGTAGAGGTTGGAGATTTGGCCCTGAGAGAATGTTTCCATCCACAACAAAGACCCAAAACCCTTATCCAATTCCTCTTCAACATAATCCTCTAGCATTATGTTATTTCCCATGTGAACTGATAGCCTGTCATGTTGATTTCCACCATCCCCATGGTAGAGATGAAGCTATTGAAGGCATGGAAACTGTTGTCTAGTCTTACTCTGTCACCTCTCTTTTCCTCCTTACTACTTATGTCATTCCAATCACCAATGATCCAATAGTCCCCCCAATCATCCTTATCCTTGACTCAACTACTGAATTCTAGTATCCTTGTCTGTACTCAAATAAACAAAGGTAATCTACAAGGAAAGTTCAACTTTGGGAAGTGTATAATTCAATTGAATGAAAAAGTCAGTACTCCTGATTTAGATGATTTCAAGTTTAGAGTCCCACATTAACAATAAGCCACCTTTTGTTCCCATAGGCTCAACTAACCAAAACCATTCCTCAAAGGCCAATTTTCTACATTTTTTTTTAACTTCATATAAGAACACAAAATTTGGATGGTGATATATAATTACCTCTTTTATTTGGAAAACTATAGAGGGTCCACCCGAACCACNNTTATAATCTTTTCAGCTTCTTCAACTCTTTGGTCCCACTATCCTCTTCCCCTGAAACTGAGTTATGAATTGCCAAAATAGTTCTCTTCTGCCCCTGAGTGGACTGAGGTTCCAACAGTTCCAGCTTGTGCCTAGCTAACCTGCCAGCCTTAGTTATTGCTCTTTTCCAAGTTTTCCCTTGGGTTGGTTTGTCGAGCTTGGTGGGAATGTCTTTACTCTTTTCTACTTGAAGTTCTAGGTCCATTTCTATTCTGAGGGTTGCTTTTGTTATTGTTGGTGTGTTGTTGGTTTTCAGAATTGGATGGAGAAATTCTACTATTTCTTTCCCTTTAGGATTTGGGTTAGAGTAATGTATTGACGCTGAAGACTCTTCAGTCCCTTGTGATCGTTCGCCTTCTTCATGAGTTTGTTTGTTAAAGGTAGATGGTGAACGACTGTTGCAGCGGTTTGCGGCCGTTGGCGTTTTTATCACTGGCGAGCCCGGTCGTCCGGGTGATGAGGTGGTTGTTGAAATCGAGGTGGTCGATGATGGTGGCATCATGATGGCGACTGATGAAGTTCCACTAGTGGCCGCAGGGTGAGGTTCTCGACGACGGCCGAGATGAATGTGTAGGAAAATCAACGATTTTGAAATTTATGGATAGGGGCTTGCTTTTGTGAATTTGATAAGTATTAGAGGCCTAGTTGCAATTTTAGAATTTTTTATATATTACACCTTAGTTCATGGGTGAAATTGTAATTAATCAAACTATAACTAATCATTTAATATTTAATATTTTTGGCTGAAATTTAATAATATATTTACATAAAAAATATAACAATAAAATGATTAATATTTATTATATAACTTGGTCGTTCGTTTATCTATTTAAAAAAAAATTGATATCAAACTTGCATAAGAGAACTTTAAAAGTAAAAAACTTTGCAATTGAATTGAAATTTAAATTCTCGAACTGAAAATTTAGTTTGGTCCTCGATATTGTGAAATATAATAGTCACTAATGTGCAACTTGTATAACTCTGATGTACACTCATCATACATAAAAATATATAAAAATAATAATAATATTTTTTATATATGTCGATCGTTTCGGTTATTTTGGTTATTTTAAAAAATAAAGCTGACACCGAACTAAAATAACCGTAATTTTAAAAATAAATACAATTAATCAAACTGAAATAAAAAATTCCAAATCAAAAAATTTAATTCTTGCCGTTTCGGTCGCTATTGTGCAATTTGATAGTCATTAATGTGCAGCTCTTCTAACACTATCGTGCACTCACATTGCATTCGTCTTTTATGATTCGCACCGAACCAAACTAAAATTGAACCGACATAATCGTTTTATTTTATCGTTAATCATAAATAATTAAAATAATTTTATAATTATATTATAAAAATATATTTAAAATTTTAGCATTGTATTTAATATCTTATATTATTTTTGGTTGAAAAACCCAGAATAATATATACAACGGAATATAACACTTTTTACATAGTTTGATCGATTTTGTTATTTTAGAAAATAAAATGACCTGGAGCAAAATAACCATTGTTTTAAAAGTAAAAACATATAATCGAACCAAAATATAGAACTCGAACCAAAATATTTTGTTCATTCGATTTCGGTTGCTATAGTGCAATCTAGAAATTAATAATGTGCAATCCGTCTAACACTAATGTGCACTCGAAGTGCATTTATATTTTAATGATTTGTCATACAGAAAACTAAAATCAAAATAATCGGTTTATTTCAGTGGTGACCGAATTAACCTAAATAACAAAATAATTTATAATTTATGTTATAAAAAACATATGAGTATATTAATTTTTTAATATTTTATATTTTTTTTGTTGTAAGGACCTAATATATATATATATTTATACAGTTCGGTTTGTTCGGTTGTTTTAAAAATAAATCTGACATTCAACCGAAATAATTAAAATTTTAAATTAAAAACATATAATCCAAAAGATATTAAAGATTCGAACCGAAAATTTTAGACCTATTAGTTTGGTCGCTAATGTGCAAAATGACAGACACTAATGTGGAACTAGTCTAACAGTAATGTGCACAATTTCGATACTAATGTGCAGTCGATGAACTTTTGTCCCAAATTAAATTAATACAAAACTGGATTATTTTCATTATTTAGTTAGATAATCGAATTAACCAAATAATAACTTAGATAAAGTATTATTTATATTATAAAAACACATTTAGTATTTTAATATATTTTTTTCTGAAATAAATAACATTTTGTATATAAAATATAAAAATCCCTTGTTATATGTCATCCCAAATGTGAAATTGTCAATTTCATTCAACATTATTGTGCAACTATAATATTTGTAAATTATAAATTTGGCTCACGAACTCAATTATAATTTATTGAAGCCTAAGAAATTGCAATTAGGCCCCCATACATTATTAAATTTCCAAAAATAAGCCCTAAATCCAAAAACACATCCAGGCTCCTCAACCCATTATAGTCAGCCGATTCACCCACCGTGTTTGCCGCCTTGAACCGCCCGACTGGACAGAACGTGCCGCTGCTTGCCAGCGTTGCATTGCCCCTCGACAGATTTACTGAAATTAGATCGAAAACTTTGATGCGATCCTGTGAAGGAGAGTCAGTCGTCAGAAGGAGAGAAAGAGAGTGTCGTGCTCGTCGTTGGAGGCCGGAGGGAAGGACAGCGCGTCGGAGACAACTCGCCGGCATAAGAAAATAGAATAAATTTGTCGGCAAATGAAGGCGGTAATGATGTCGGACCGGCGATGACGGGTGGCGGGATTGTGCTGTGGCTATTGAAGGCGACGGGCGGCGTGATGAAGATCGCGTGTGATTTCTGATAATCCACACACTCGTACGCTGAACCGATAATGGTTATCTCGGAGGTTCACACACCCGCGCCCCTCGAAATGGAATAAAATTGCAAAAGAAATCAAGAAGAAATCTAAGATAAAGTGATTAGAAAAAAGTTCGGGTTTTTTTATTATGATTTTCAATGCATCAAAATAACAAGAGGAAGGGCCTTTATATAGGCATCAAATAGATCTAGTCCTAATCTAACTATAACTCCAATAAAGCAATAAAATAGTAAATGCCCTAAACAGTCTAGAAATCTTATGAAAAGAAGTAAACTAAATATCTAAAGAATCCTAGGTGATCTTGTCTTGCACTCCAAGTAAGGAACCCTAGCCTCCCTTCACGCCGCCTCGGGCCCCCTTCATCCGCGCATGCCTTGCCTTAGTCCTTGAGGACTAAGGTCGCGCCATCCGCTCTCGCGCGTGCACACTCGCTGCGCGCGTCTCTAGCACCTGCCGCGTCCTCTGCACCCGCCGCGTCTTCAATGCTCTTGCCCGATGCGCTTGTTGCCCACGCGTCAACCCCCGTCGTCTGCGCATCCGGCCCGCGCGCCAGTCGCGCGCCTTAACCCGACGGTACCTGTTCGCCAGTTTTGCGCGTCCGCACACGTCACCTCCAATGGCCTACGTCTCGCCCGTGCGTCGCGCTAGCCTCCAGCGTGCATGGTATGCACGGCTCGAAGCGTTCTTGAGTTGTCTTGCCACATCCGCATCATTCCCATCCCTTTCAAGTGTTTCTTTGTCCTCAAGGACGAAATCCGGGAATTGATCACGCATCTCACCTAGTTCCTCCCAAGTGGCTTCCTCCGATGGCAAATCCTCCCACTCGACTAGTACCTCCCAACGATAGCGTCCATCTTTCTTCAATTGGCGATACTCGATCGCGCGATTTGGCCTTACAATGACCCGCCCATCAGTCGCTGTCGCTGGTAGCTCCTCGCACCACTTGTGCGCTTCACCCAAAATCCTCTTGAGTTGCGAGACATGTATGATCGGATGGATGTGCGAACTCTCCGGCCGCTCTAGGCGATAAGCTACTTGACCTATGCGCTTCAAAACCTAATATGGCCCGTAATAACGTACCCCTAGCTTAGTCGCGGCCCGTTGCACAGTTGTGCATTGTCTAAATGGTCGTAGCTTCAAGTAGACATAATCGCTCGGCTCGAGACTTTCCTCGTGCCTCTTGCCGTCATGAAAGGTCTTCATGCGGTTGATCGAGCTTTCTATATTTTCTTCAACTCACGCAACATCAGATCTCGTTCCTCAAGTTCTCGACCGACTTCATCGTTGATCGCACCTCCTTCCGAATAACTCACGAGCGTAGGCAGTTTACGCCCGTACACAAGCTCGAAAGGCGTAGTCTTGGTTGAGCCGTGGTAAGTGGTATTGTACCAGTATTCAGCCCATGGTAAAAAATTCTCCCAGTTCTTCGGAAATTGATGCACGTAGCACCATAAGTACTGCTCCAGCGTGCGGTTTGGTCACCTCAGTTTGCCCATCTGTCTACGGGTGGTAGGTTGAACTCATCGATAGCTTGGTCCCTTGTAGTTTGAAGAATTCTGACCAAAAGCTACTCATAAAGATCCGGTCGCGGTCGGAGACTATCGAGCATGGTACCCCATGCAACTTCATAATGTACTCGATGAATAACTTGGCGATTGATTTCGCTGTGTAGGGGTGCGTAATGGGTATAAAGTGTTCATACTTTGTAAGTCGATCCACCACGACCAAGACTCCGTTGAACCCATTAGAGATCGGCAGCCCTTCGATGAAGTCCATAGTGATGTCCTCCCAGATCTTCTCGGGAACGGGCAAAGGTTGCAGTAGACCTCTCGGTCGTCGTGCGTCTGCCTTAGTGCGCTGGCACTCGTCGCAGCGTGCGACATACTCTCGGACCGTGCCCTGTTGCCCTGGCCAAAAGAAGGTATTGACCATCCTCATCCATGTGCGGTAGAATCCCGAGTGCCCTCCAATCTTTGAGTCATGGAAGTGCTGCATAATCCTCTCGTGGAGTTGCCCACTGTTGGGCACAAACACTCGGCCTCGGTGGAGTAATAAGCCATTGTGCTGCTCATAGTCGGCAACGGCAGTGTCTCCCGCCTCAATCCCTCGTCGCAAGTCTTGGCATTAGGAGTCGTCCTCTTGCGCCTTCCTAATTTTCTCCCATACAGCCCATGTTGGCCCGATTATGGCCTCTAGCTCGGCAACGTCCGTCCGTCTTGATAGTGCGTCAGCCATGGCATTTTGTCGGCTCGGCCGGTACACTATCTCGAAGTCGAAGCCCATGAGTTTCGAGACAAACTTCTGCTGCTCGGGCGTCGCAATCCTTTGCTCGAGTAAGTGCTTGAGCGGTTGTTGGTCGGTCACAATCCGAAAGCGCCGCCTCAATAAATAGGGCCTCCAGCATCACACAGCTTCTACGACCGCAAGCATCTCTTTGACGTACACGGACAGCCCAGTCGAGTCGTGCCTAGTGCCTTGCTGAGAAAGGCCAAGGGACATCCTTCATGTACTAGCACTGCACCAATCCCTATGTCGCTTGCATCTGTGTGTACCTCGAACAAAACATCGAACCTTATCATTGCTAGCACGGGCGTTGTGGTCATTGCGCCCTTGAGCCTCTCGAATGTGATCTCGCTAGCTTCGGTCCACTTGAACCCTACTTTCTTGGTCATCTCGGTTAATGTCTTGGCAATGGTCCCGTAGTCTTTCATGAACTTCCGGTAGTAGCCCGTGAGCCCTAGGAATCTGCGTAGCTGCGTTAGGCTTGTCGGTTTAGGCCAATCGACCATAGCCTCAATCTTCATTGGGTCGACTTTTACGTCATCATGAGAGATAAAGTGACCAAGATATTCGACCATGTCCAAACGAGCACTTGGATGGCTTGATGTAGAATGAATTGGCTTCCAAGATTTCGAGTACCACACGTAAGTGCTCAATATGCTCGGTCCATGTCTTCGAGTAGACCAAGATGTCGTCGAAGAATACTAAGACGAATTTGCGCAGATAGTCCTTGAAGATGGAATTCATGGCGAACTGAAAAGTGGATGGGGCGTTGCACGGCCCAAACGGCATCACCAAATACTCCTAGTACCACGCGTGCGAAAGGCCGTCTTCGGAATGTCGGCCTTGTGTAGTCTCTGATGGTACCCGGTGTGATAACCCAGCCTCTCACTAAGTCTCTCGTTAATAAAATCTCAAAAATATGTGCCTATTTGATATCCTTAAACAATAAATTTTTTTAGATAGCTAATTAAACTATTAACTTTGATTTAATTAAGTTAATAAATTTAATTCATATTATTAAATGTGTAAGTCTTGTATATATAATATTCTAAATAAATAATAATGGTGTGTGCATAATTTGAATATAAGTATGTGTATGTAGGTGTGGGTTTATACTACATGCAAATAATTTAATTAATAATATTTTATAGTAACAATAATATGTTCAATATATGTAATATAATGTGTGTGAGTTAGTTATGCTAACATATGTAAAGTAGGCATGCATATACAATTAAGAATATATATAGCATGCATATGAGTTCATGATTTGCATGTACATAATACAAAATTTGGTAATAGTTATAATAGCTCATTCTCAAAGACGGGTGTACTAAATGGGACGCATTATGTGTACTAGTGCTTATGCATATTTATGTGTTTGTAAGGAAAAATATATGTGCGTATATACAGATAGGGATTGAATCATTATATATGTATATGTAAGGTTTTCATTTTAACTAGAAATCTATTTATCCTTATCCACTCACATAAAATAAGATTTATTTTATAGTCTCTCATGCATAGAAATAGAAATAAATATTGTGAAGGAAAATTTGTTATACAAACAGAAGGGGCACAATCCCACATCGAATTGTCTTGCTGTGATTAATCATCTTAGTACATATAAATAGGAAGGAAATATTTTTGGGTAAATTACACCAAATCCCCCTGTGTTTAACGAAATGTGCGCGTTTTCCCACTGTGTTTTAAAAACTGCATCAGACCCCCATGTATTCAAGTGACAGATGCACGGTTCCCCCATTCCGTCCAAGTTAACCGCGCGTGTGTGACACCTTCTCTAACTGCGAGATTTGTTCAATTTTTTTATTTTCAGAATTACTAATTTACCTTTTTACCCTCCTGAATTTTATTGCAATAGCTAGAAATTGTTAGTGTAAGAAGTGGGATTCGAACCCAAGTTGCAAAGGGGGAGCATGCCAACACAACCACTAGACTACATGAATGTTGTGTTAACTATTGAACACACATATATTTATACTATAATACGAAAATGATTAAATAAAATAAAAATAAAGTAAATAAAAATCTAAGAGGTAAATATATATAAATTAAATAATTATTAATACAAATAATAACTTGAAATAAATTAAATTAACATAAAAATAATTTAACAGTTAAATTTAAAGTAAGATAAAATTTAATATAATAGCATGAATTAAAATTAAATAAATTTATTTTTAATTACTAAAATAATTTAATTATATAATTTTGAAATGAAAAACAATGATAATAAAATTAAATAAAAATAAAATAATAATATTATAAGATAATAAAGTATAAAAATTGTAAAGTAAAATAATATAATAAATCAAATAAGTTATTATGTTATAATAAATTAAAGTAAATAAAAATCATAAATTAATATAATAAAATAAAAAAACACAATTTAGCAAATACGTGTAATATGATATACTCTTACATACAATATCACTGAGAAAAATTGAAATAAATTATAATTTTTTAGTAAATGATTTTATTTTTTAACAAATAATTTTAATTTCTAATTTTATTATTAAAATTTATCTTATAAAAAAAATAAATAAAGT